TTTTTTTTCAACACAGATTGTTTATTTATCAATCAAACAAAAGAATCGTCCCTACAAAGCAACTTTAAAATCATCCTCCATGTTTTACTGAATCGTGAGCTCTTTACAGAAACATAAAGCGCGTATTCCAGTAGCCAGGTCAATAGAAGTGCATAAAAACACGGCAGCTCATACGTTGCCCACATCCCCATACAAGTTAACCCTGTAAAACGTGAACGTATTCAAGTGAGCCCATTGTTATTTTGCACGTGGCAACCTCACTACTTTTTCCCATGGCAACCCTTTATTTTCACTCGCCTCACGCTACATAAAAGCCATTACAAGTATTTCAAACGTAATAATTACATGCATATTTAATAATACAATCGCTATTGTAATAGTTTTCTTTTTAATTGTTAAACCGAATGAAAGTAAGTACCCACTCACCAACATCAACAGTTTGAATGAAACGTTGCGTTGATTGAAATAATCTCATTGAAGAACAAAGTACCGACCTATGTATAAATTACTTTAGAAGGTACCTATTTAATACCTTTGCGACTGTTGCTGGAATTCGGATTTAAACGACCTATACCTATAACAAAAGAACTGTTTGTCAGAGTTCCCCTCGTGGGGACACAATGACTAAGTGTTCTTGATCCCCATGACTAGTCCTGTGTCTACTATATAAATAAGTAAAAATAAAATTGCAACAAAATATTACAAACCTGAGGTTTCTCAAACGACAGTCTGATATAATACTGATTCGAGAGAGCGAGTCGCCGATGTCTAGGGGCGGCAGCGTGGCTTTCGACCTGCTGCTATAAGTAAACAGACGAATATACTTTTAAAAAGTTGTTGTAAGATACGCATGGGTGTCATTCCATTTTTACCTGCTTGATACATAGAAACTCATTGCTGTAGTGACACGTTAGTACCTACCTATTACAAAGAATGAAAACTACATGCTGGTTATTCTTACCCAGGTTTCATGAAGCTCTTGCTCTTCTCAGTAAGTCGTCTCTTAGGGCGCTCCACCGTGGAGTCTCCAGCGCCGTGCAAGGACCCATCCACCGGAGTCGTAGTCTTCAACTCAGCGTACGAAGATTCCTGATACCAAAATCAAAATAATAAAAATAATTATGCCTATGGATCCTTTAGCTTAATATCCTTTAGCTTTTGCGCGCTTAAAAGTGTAGAAAGAAAATATTAACATATCTGTGCTTATAGGACATACATAGATACCACTACTCTGGGAAGAAACCTCGCTGACAAATCGTACTCTAAGTGTCTCTACTCATAAAAATAATGTCGCGATAAGGGTTGCAGTGTTTGTACCTTTTCGGAAATTTCCTCAGTGCTGTAGTCAGTGACCTTCTGCAACACTTCGCTCTCAGTGTTGAGGTACTCCTCCGAGGTAGCCTGCGTGTCGGTGGTCGATACCTGGACATAAGGAACCACACTTTAACTCGCAATTATGCAGACTGGTAAAAACTGGTAGACTTATTCACAGTTTTTATTTAGTAGGTATCTAAACCAAATTACATTTTCATCGGAACATCGCCGCCGTAGTTTAGTGTAATGCAATGCTATGATATGTCCAGAACACTATTTTTGTTGTGTAAATTTATTTTATAGGTTTTTTGTAAGGGGGAAATTCATCGAATGACTTCTCCCGCCTGGATGAGGCGGTAGGGAGTGTCAGACTCTTACTGACTAAAAACCAACCCGTTCCTACTCCTGCCTTTAGAGCCGAAGCTCCGTATTGGCATCAGCCCTATTGGGTCCCATCTGTGGTGGTATGTTGGCTTTTTGAGGCGCGCTGGAGATTATCTCGCGATCCCCGACACCCGGAGTGTCCTTCGCGACGGCTGGGTTGCAACGAGGCAGCGCTCCGCTGCGTCACTCGCTCCGCTTCTTCCTTAGCTAACATGACTGCTTCGCAAAAGGAGGAGACCGGCTTCCCAGTCTCCCTCGCTCGGCTCTGACTAGGGAGCGGACGCGAGAGGTCGCCGTCTTCGATCACATCCCTGAAGGCACAGCGGTGCTCAGCCTACGCCGGGCATGCCTCAACCGTGTATTCCACCGTGTCCTTCAGGCAGTCCTCGCAGTGATGACACCCGTTTCCTCCCGCTCTATCAGACACAGGTACCCGAAGATCCCATGTCCGATAAGCATCTGTGTTAGGTGAGGACGCCATAGCGTCTCTCAAGGCACTCCTCAAAGAGGGCACTTACCGCTGCAATGCCAGCGAACCCAGAATTATATAGGTTGCGTTACATTTGTATCACGTTGAGGCACTTGATATGATACAATATTCCACTTACGTAGCTTTCCGCCCTGGAACGTCTTCCTTTCTTTCCTACTGGTATAGTTCCCTCCACGGAGTCAGCTACATGGACCTTGCCAGGAAACCTTACAAAAAAATATATGAAAATAAAAGTTTCACGTCAAAATCTCAAAGATTATCTTTCTTTCATTAAATTGCAAAATTTTTTTTGGCATTGGCGTCGAGAAATACAATAATTATAATCGTTAATAGATTTATTATGATCATTACTCATACAATTTAGATGTCTTCCGAAGCTAATAAACTAAGCCATGTTAAACGTTACCAGTACTGCGCTGGTATTTCTTCTATGACTGGAAGATCCAATGAGGACGAACTGGGCCACTTCCGCAAAGGAGAATCAGGTGTATCTTCTAAAATGGTCAGTTCTTGCCGACCCCAAGTGTCTTTCGGAGATGGGTCGGGAAGTTGGTCGGGGATCCAAGAGTCCTCGCGATGAGGAATGTAACAAGGAGGGTACGCACTCGGTTCCTCACCAGGATCATGACGATAGAAGTGCCTATGGTAAAGATTGACTTGAATTACCCGAATAACTACCCACTGAGCCTTTTAGACGGAAACAAATAAAGATCTAAATGTTTTAAGTTGCTATGTTTCCGTAGTGGATTTTTTCACCGTATGAGTTACCCGAAATTACCACCTCAACCCCTCCTCGCAAAAGACCGCCAAAGTGCGGGTGTCCAAGGTTGCGCCGATTGCTTACCATTAGGTAACCCTAACCCATCAACTTTTATACACATTGGAGGTCCATGCTAGGGCACAAACGGGCCATCTCAGCCAGGTTGATACTACGGCCTCAAAGAATCCCGATGTGAGACTTCGCTTGCAATGCGTGTCCATCCACCCGGAGACCCAAATCCTCACTCTCATTCCCAATCCCTTATATCTCGGGTTTTGTGGATGTTCATAGGCGTTGTTAACTTGATCGTTATTTTTTTATGGATTAAGCCGATAAACGAGCAAACGGATCACCTGATGGTGAGCAATCGGCTTCGCCCATGGACACCTGGAACACCAAAGGCGTTAGAAGTGCGTTACTGCCCCCTTTTGGGGATTACGAATTTGAGGATTGTTGGAGATTCGGGAATTGGGAAGATTGGGGAAGGAGGTGTTATTGGGTTGTTGGGCCTCCGATAACCTCACTCAAACGACGAAACAAAAAGGAAGCGTTGTTTCACGCCGCTTTTGAGGCCGTGGTGTGGTATCACTTTGGTCGAGCCGGCTCGTTCGTGCCGAAGCATGGCTCTCCAATACTTAAACTCGTTTTGCCCCCATATACTATTAAAAAAATAGAATTAGTACGATTAGATTACCAATCTATCAGTTTTAGCCAGGCTTCGGTAGCGCAGTGCACGGTGAATATGGCTGTCTGCTTCTCCATATAACTCTCGTAACCAATTGACAAGGCGGTCTCGAGGATTTCCTCTCGGATGTCAAATATTATTAGGTCATTTTCCTCTTTTTGAAGTATTTCTGCCCTGTAAATTGAACCAAAAAATGATAATACCAAACGACCCTGGACTGAACAAGTTTTTAAGCCCTGTACTATAGCAGCATAATAGTGTCGTTTATGAATAAGATTTGAATAAAATGAGAACTATAGCAATAATTATTTATTATGAATGTATTTATATAACTCTACATCATCATTTTTAATAGGTAACCTATTCATTAAAAGGTTTGAAATAACCAAAGAGTACAATAAGTAGTATAAGGGAATAACCAAGTTTTAAGCAATAGGAATGATGCAAAATTTACCATGTTCGTTCAGGAATGTCTTTTGGTAAAGCGACCAAGGTTCTCGCATCATCTGAAACTTGGAGTTTTCGGCCTCTTCGAGATATTTTGTATTTACTGAACGATGGTGTAACAGTAGTCATTTCTGTTGCTAATTAAATTATGTTTAATTTTGCTAAAATGAAAATCATCAAAAATATAAACAACCTTTCGAAATAACGGACGTTCTCGTAATGCGCTGAATAACTGTCAGAGATGATGGAAGTAAAGAAAATATTTTTTAAAACAAAAATAGACCAAATCCGTAGATACTCACATCAATATAATCCAAACTTATTTTTAATTAAAAAGACATAAAAACAAACTTACGAACGAAATTGTACGTGCATTTGGGAATTCCATTATGTACCTACCTCTTTGACTAAAGTTACTGGAATCGAATACATTTTGTTAAATTAATAAAATATTATTTATTATGATTTATTTATGAATACTAATTAATTTATAATATAAGTCATAACTTTACATTGCCCCTTGTTGCGCTTTTATCAATTCAATAGCTAATAATCTCATTTTATTTACCCAGCCCAGTAGTCAAAACTTAAGCGCTGACTTATCATGCCCCCGACGCCCCTATCTGATTATCATATTGTAAACCAAAGGGCTTTTTATTACTCCATTCATCATATTTTATCACACTTTGCTACGAACATATTGTATTATCCTCCCAGAGGATTATTCACCTAGGCAATATATCAATAAAGTTATTTACCATATTAGTTCCTGTTTATTTTAATATTAAAAAGTTTATAGTGAATAATAATTTAATTTCTAAATCAAATAATTATAGTTGTAAACGAGAACAAAAAGTGGCCAGAAACAAAATTGCACCATAGACAATATTGATGACAGTTTTTTGAAAAAGTGACAAAAACCGAGCGCAAATTACAAAAAATCACTGAATTATTTTTTAATCTTGAAAATATTTAAAGTGCAGAAGGATGAACGTTTACATCAGTTAGAAAAGTGTGCTTTATATCGAACGCTAAATAATGAGTGCATATTTTCTTTGTTTAGATTTTGTTAACGTTTGATAATTATAATGTATACTTTGAAGGGTATCTTTCCCGAACCAAGTAAGTTCGTTACATTCAATTTCACACTAAATAGAACTGTTGTCATGGCCATCTGATTTATTTGTTGTGACGTCGTTAAGCTTCCTACTTGTATTCTATGAATTTACTCAGTGTTTTCAACTATTATTACACAACACTGTCATGGCAATTTCAGTCAACAAGCCTACGATACGATGTTTACTCAAACACATTTTATAGGTTGTTGTTAAAACCACTTCCCTAAATTTTAATTTATGTTTGAAAGTCTTAAATATGAAATTATTTATTTTAGAGAAAGAACAAAAAAAGAACTTTATCAGAGAAAACATGAAACAACTAAAATACATTCAGAGCAGCAAATCTCCCAAAGAACCGAAATATAATACTAAAAATGTCCATCCACCGCGGCTGACCAACCCTATCGCAGCTGGAAGCACTCTTGGCCAAGTGAAGTCATCACCGTCGAATAAGAGTGGAAAGACATCAATAAATATTGCAAAGACTAGCTCTACAAGCACTCGTAAAAAAATGGCGGATATACGTATCAAGAAGGGTGATATGGCCGAATTTCTCAAAAGGAAAGAGTTGAGGCAGTCTAAAGCAACAGAAGATTGTGCAGATGAAGAAGTGAAGTCAACAGAGTCAACAGGACGCCTCCGGGACATTGGCTGTCAAACTGTAGAGTCTAACCTTGCTCAGAAGCTGGCTGAGGGTGCAAAGTTAACAATGTTATATCCTAAGAAAGAGGGTGAAGATACTGAAGCCAAAATGAAGGCTAGTGGAGACACTGGTCATCACAGAAGTCCTCCTCCATCTCAGCCTCCACGTCGGGCTGGTGATGATAATAATATATTAGATCTTGAAAGAAATCGTAGCCGGTTAAATGCCATTTTGGAGAGAAAGGATACCAGGGACCCGTACTTACCATCAGGTTATTGCTTCTAAATTCTTTAATATGTCTATTGTATTGGTTGTAAGATAGAATTGCTAAAATTATGGTAATACTTATTTATTGTTTTTTTTTTTTCAGGTTACCAAAAAGGTGTGGTACCAAAATACTTACGTGAACGTAAGGAACAGGGTCCAAAGGAGGGAGAGGGTGGCAGGCTGGAAGAAGACCACTCTGTGTGTCCTCCTGGACATGTGACTCTACCTGATACTGAGCGTAAAGAAACATTGAGGATGCTTAGGAATAGTAAGTGTATTATTATTTTGTGTGCTTTTTCTACATTTCTTTCCATTATACTGATGCAAAGATGCCCTTTCTCATAAAGCCTTAAGAAAAGAGTATTTTAATTCTGTCCTAAATGTGGGAGAGCCATGCTTTGGCTCGAATGGGCCGGCTCAACCGGGCCGGCTCAACCAGACTGATACTACTGCCTCACAGAAAATCGTAAAACAACGATTTCTTTGTGTTTCGTCGTGTGAGTGAGGTTACCGGAGGACTGATTAGACCCCCCATCTCCGGGGGTTGGCCCCGAATCTCCCACAATCCTTAAATTCCCAATTCCAAAAGACCGGTGACGCACTTGTAACGCCTCTGGTGTTTCTGGTGTCTATGGGCGGCACCGATTGCTTGCTATCAGGTGATCGTCTGCTCATTTACCGGCTAATCCCAAAAAAAACCACACATTCATTGACACTAATATTTTCTTTTCAGGTTTTGCAGAGTTAGTAAGTGAACTGAATAAATTGCCAGTAAAAACAGATACGCTTAAAATGCGTAATAGAAAAATGGAATTAGAAAAACAATTAGCAAAACTTGAGGAAGGAATCAAAGTGTTTTCCCGACCCAAGGTGTTTGTAAAAATAGGAGAATGAGTAGCCTGTGTTTGTTCAAAGTTAATTGTAAATTTTTGGTATTCTATTAGGCACTATAGTGCAGTCAGATTTATGCAAACAATTATTTAGGATAAATGTTACACCTGATAAAAGCAGTCTTTGGTTTCTTTGGTGCCATTTGTTTTACAATTTGTTACAAATGTCAATTATTTCACACATTTATGAACCAGAAATATACGAAATTTTTGTATATTATATTTGAACATAATGATGTATATACATTTCTAGAATAAAAATGAAGTATCTAATGAATGATGTATTAAGTGGAAGATGTTGACACATGATATTGTTAGATCTGACTACACAGCTTCTGTTACAGATTCCGTCCAAACAAAATCCAAATTGTGTGTCGCGTTTGTTATATGATGTCGCTAAATTGTTGTGATATCGCTCCGTTAAGATAATCTGACGTTGTCGTATGTTAGTATTAATTATATTATTGTATGTTATTCATTGTTGTAACTAATATAATTAGATACGTTTGTATGATTTACAGTGTTTCTATAACTTTTTTTGGAGATTTAAATACAATTATTTGTGTTTTTAGACCATTTCTTTGACAAATGAAATAGGTTGTTATATGAAAGAAATTATATTTCTATAACTTGCGACAAGATGCCATGGTGCCATCGTTATTTGATTTATAAAATAAATTAATCTCTAAAACTTTGTTCTATTTATACCACACACGGTAATGTTTTACATTTTCTATCTTTGCACAAGTCACACACAGTAGCATAGCTTATACATAAACTATACAACTACACTCTTCATCAATATTCAAAGTGAACAAGGCAATCTTGGACAAAAAGTTATTATTAAAACTGAACTAACTAATGATTGATAACTGTGTTCAACATCATATTATTCTATCTATTTGATACAAATAAACAATAATATAACCATTGAAGATCAAACAAGCTACAATTATAATATACAACATGTGTACTATATTTCCAGAGTACTAGTGATGACATTATGTATGTAGGTATTCTTTACATATTACATAATAAAATAAAAACTGGCAGTCAGATGCGCTTTTAGCTGAAAATGTGTTCATCATGAATAATTATAATCAATTTCTTATTATTGCACTGCATCAAGCTTACAGCCATACAATAATTTTAATTTTATCACAGAAATTGTTTACTTTTAAAACAAAATTATAATATGTCAAAACAACAATATGTATTCATTTAAATTAGTCACTCTACTACCCTCCTTTTTGGTGATTCACAACATTTCTTTTCTATAATTCTATGGCTTGCACAGACAAGGGGCTATAGAACAGATTAATTACCTGACTACATGATCCATCAATATGTTCTTAACTCGTCGAGTACCGGTTTCGTAGACACAATTATAGAACAATAGGCTGCGGTCACCGGTGACCGCTTGGTATTTGACAGTTTAAATTATGCACATAGGTTTAAAAATATTGTTAACATTAGAGGGAGATGCCACGAAAACTGACTGAGTTGGGTTCAACAAAACAATTGAAATAAAGAATTGAACATTATCTTTTCTTATACCAAAATTATGTTATTTGACATACATAATGTGCTCATGTCTACATTCTATGAATAACCAATGACAGCACACCCTGTTTGTAAAATCACCAAGTTTAATAGCAATTGTTTTCCATTTCACAAGATTTAAGTCATCTGTGGACCTTATATAACCCTCTTGTCTGCACTGGCCTTTACTAATCCTAGTAAAATATTCTGTTTGATTAGTTTTATCACCTTGGCTTCATATATTATTTTCAGTAATATTATCTAAAGCCTCTTCACATGTTGAAATTGGTGGTCATTGAATATGATTGGGCCCTTCCGGAACCATTCCTCATCATGGTTGCGCCAATGGTAAAAGGAAAAATCAGGGAAAAAGAATTTTATCTCCCTTTCTGCTGACTCTGGTGAATCTGAAATTCCATTTAATATATTGGTTAGGTTACTGTAAATTATTCTTACAATGACAGTGTATAATATTGGGTACAATCAGCAGCATCTGTGCCTAATCAATTAATACATATAAAATTTTTTAACCTACCTGATCCATGTGCGACATTTCTAGTGTCTGATATACCAAACATGCCCCTCAGACAATGAGGCTCTTGGAACTGTCCCTTGTAAACACTGGTGGGACCCAGCATCTGCCGCCACAGGGTAATCGCATTCACGTGTCCAAGCACATGAAGGTCTATGCTTCCACTGAAATGATGAACAACATTATTGGAGATTGTGTGTCGATTTTGGTGCCCTCTCTTGTACAGACTGCTCACCTTGACATAAAGGTTACAAGACGATTGTAGAAGAACTTGCCAAAATGTTCTTTATAAAAACGGCAAGCAGTTTTTGTGTCTAAATTAACCCGTTTTGTTCTCAGAACCACAAATTTGTTTTTCAAAAGGTTTCTGATGAATGATAACACTACTGGGTTTGATACTGCATGTGGTTTTATTATAGCTAACGTCAGCTGCAACTTCTGCATGGCGTAAATTTACAAATATGTTACAGTTTCTGTCATAACTTTTTAAATATTAAAAAATACCGTAGGTATCAAGTTGTCTCTAAAATAATAAAATAAATCAAACAAGAACCGAATCAAAATAATGTCAAAATCAGCTGTGCTGTAGTGTACCGTTTGACATTGGGATGACAGTCAGTCAGTCAGTCAGAAAAGTTTTATTTTAATAATTTTTGTTACTGACCATAATAGATACAAGTCTTTCAGTCGAATATTGACGAATATTAAAGAAAGTAGGTTAGTTTCAAGCATTTTTCAAGCCGCAGCGCGCAGGTGACAAAAATGAGGAAGGAACCACTGGAAGGAACACACAAAAACAAACTAGCAAATATCCTATATCTTAAAACCCTTAAGTGGATATAAAACTTTGCCAGAATAGAAATGGAGTCACAGTCGATTACTTTAACTCTTAATTGTAGATAATTTTTAGGTTCTTTTCGTCCTCTTGTTATTCCCTGGTATATATAAATGCGAGCAAAGATTTTTACCCTATGGTTCATTCCTGTTTAGCGTATAGCTTAGCTATCTGTGGTTCATATTCATTGTTTATGGTTGTTGCTGTGCGTCGAAAACACAATATCAACAATATAGGTTATTAAAGCAATAAATAATTGTTAAATAAATAAAAATGCCTGAATTAGAAGCGAAACGAAAAGCGGATGACTTATCCATAGTGCCAGCAAAACGCACTCGACATGAAATATCAGTTGTTGGTACTAGGGAGAAGGCAGTAGTAACATCATCAGTAAGTTGTCAGATTTTCTAAAGATATTATGTTGTTTTAGTTCAATTACACAGTGAGTGATAATGAGTATATTGTTCGCAGGTGCCTCGTACATCAAACCTCTATGCGCCTATAATGTTATTAGAAGGCCATCAGGGCGAAGTGTTTACATCCAAGTTTCACCCTGAAGGAAAGCATTTGGCTTCGGCAGGTTTTGACCGACAAATATGTAAGTAGTTGTTTATTCAATCGCCTAGATTAAGTTAATATACAGGAACATAATAGTTGTTGAGATAAACATCATACTTTCATATGATTTGAAGCAGAAAGAAGACGACTTCTTCCTTTTCATCAACAGCCTATAAATGCCCACTGCTAAGCAAAGCCTCTTCTCACACGGTTTCAGCACTAATCACCACGCCTGCTCAATGCAGGTTGGTGATTACAAGCTTATAATTAGAAATTATAAACCTAGGTTTCCTCACGATGTTTTCCTTCACCATTTGTGAGTTGTGTCTAAATAATCTTAGAAAGTACATATAACTTGGAAAAAGTGACATTGGTACTTGCCGTTGGTAGGTTTCGAACCCGCACCCTCATGCATGAGAAGTGGGCGTCTTAAACCTCCAGGCCACCATGACATTCTTCCATTTACAACGGACATATACAAGTGGGACCTACATTTGCTTACTAATAATTAATTATGATTATTTTCAGTCCTATGGAATGTGTATGGGCAATGCGAGAATGTGATGGTGATGAAGGGGCACACGGGTGCTGTGATGGAGCTGTGCTTCTCTCCGGATGGATCCCACCTGTACTCCTGTGCCACAGATAATACAGTCGCTGTGTGGGATGTACCAACTGGAACTAGGATCAAGAAACTCAAAGGCCATGCTAGTTTTGTTAACTCTGTGTCAGGTAGGCACCTTTTACTTAGTTTTATAACTAATTATATATGATTTATGTCTCAGGTACATTATTATAGAGAAGATCAAAGTTTTATTTTAAAATCTTTATATTCCTCAGATATTATAAGATAGTTCTTATTGTGTTGTAACAAAGTATATTTGTTTGTAATGTTTGACTCATGTTCTTTTATAGGTGCCAGGAGAGGTCCAGAATTATTAGTTTCAGCATCAGATGACAATACTATTAAACTATGGGATGCTAGAAAGCGGAACCCTATAGCCTCGTTTGACAGTGGCTATCCAGTCACCTCGGTCCTGTTCAATGATACTGCTGAGAAGATCATCTCTGGTGGAATTGACAATGTTGTTAAAGTTTGGGACATCAGGAACAATCAAATTTCATACAAAATCAAGGGTCATACGGACACTATCACAGGTATGCATTGTAATATTTATATGCTTCTTTACAATTATCATGTGCAGCTTTAAAGAGAATATAACAAACTGAAAGTAAGGAATGATAGATTGTTGATTACTGAATTAAACTTTAATTTAATATTCCAGGCATGGCCTTATCCTATGATGGTTCATACTTACTCTCCAACTCCATGGATAACACACTGAGGATATGGGATGTACGGCCATTCGCACCATCTGAACGCTGCGTCAAGCTCATGTCAGGTCATCAACATAATTTTGAGAAGAACCTGCTCCGCTGTGCGTGGTCACATGATGGCTCTAAGGTTTGTAAAGTTTTTAATAACAAACATTATGTAAAACGCTAACTGATTGATCCAGTCTGTAAATGCATCCAATTTCTAAAATAGCCAGTCCTCAAAATGTTTGTTAAGAAGTTCTCAATTCTAAAGGATATAATTATTGAACAATACTCTTTACAATTACAACTAATCTCCGAATTAGCGATACTACTGTATTCTCGAATAGAACTATTCAAAAATTCGTAGCATTGTTGAAATATTGTGAACATATTTTCCCGTACAGGTGGCAGCAGGATCGTCAGATCGCTTCCTATACGTGTGGGACACGACGTCACGTCGCGTACTGTACAAGCTGCCCGGCCACAACGGCTCCGTTAATGACGTCGACTTCCATAGGACAGAACCTATAGTACTCTCAGCATCTAGTGATAAACAACTTTATCTCGGCGAAATTGACAATTAAAATTCAGTGAAGTGATTGTGAGTGCATTGAAGGACTACAGAGAACTATTGTCAACAGTCTAGTAAACATTCACACCCCATTGTATGTTGGGATGTGGTGGGAATAAGATATAATAAAGTAACACATATTTTATTCTGGATTTTTATTCCATACTTCTTGAAATCAAAGGTTAAAACAAACTTAGTTTTATGTACAAATGATATTCATTAACACCACCAGGCATATAAAAACATGTTACCTAGGTACATACTTTTTATTTTTATAATAAAAGATTAATGGTGGAATATTGAAACGTTACTCAATCAATTTTAAGTTGTGCTCAAATATCGTGCCATCTCTGTCATTTTACAAAGAATTTGTAGGATAGAACTATACTTAAGCAAGACTTAAAGGGCATTGATTAAAATTGGTGCCTTTCTTTTTTCTGGCGGCAGTCGATGATTTATGGAAAATATTATCTAGAATGATATTACAAACGAAATTGTCTATGGGCTTATATATGGAAATCTCAGTCTGGACTGAGTTATGAGCGTTGAAAGGAGCTAGAGTCAAACATTTTACTTCGGTTTTTTATTCAAATTATTCATAGTTTTGTCACGATTTTTAACTTCAAATTGCGCGCCACTGTACTCCGGGCACAGGAAAACCATATCACACCACAATATATTCATATTGCCAGGCACTAATTTTTATTACCTATTTTCTCTCAGTCGATAACTTGTGGTATGCTTCTAGGAGTTGTGTCATGAAGCTTCATGAGCGTCAGCTGTGGTACCAGTGGTGGGTTGAGTAGTGGTAGCCGTCCAAACATATAATAAAGTATATTTTTTTTTGCCATTGACTCATGGTGAGACACTCATCTACTTAATAGTTCGCATAATCTTTTGAAGAAAGAAAAACGTCGACTTTTAAAGTGATCAGCGCTCTTCTAAGAGGAAATTGATCATGAAAATCTGTCATAGGCCATAAACCGTATACATATAAATTGAACACGCTAGCCAATCAAACGAAATGTTTCTTTTTCTTCAGCAGTGGTCAGTTAATGGTTCACTCTGTTCTGATTCAGTGGCCTTATAACAAAAACAAAAAAAAAAACAAAATAAAGAAAACAAAAAAAAAAGTAAAAAACTCCACAATAAGCTTTATTATATTCCTTGAAATCATTTATGAACATTAATTACAAAATATTTCTGACGAGTAAATGAAGAAATATGCGTTGTGTACGGTCACCATCAAAATCACAGGGATAATATAGCACTATTTTCACATCTTTGAACTGATTTAACTCGATTTGGACTGTTTTTTTGATATAAGGCCCTATATATTTTTTTGTTTGTAATGTTATTCTGCATCAGTTTTTCCACATCCGATCAACTGCCGCGAAAAAATGAAAAGGCACCACGCTCCATACAAATTTGGTCATTGTCATTTGAGTAGCGTTTGAGTATTCCGACAATAGACTATCTCTTCATAGGCTGTCTTATAGTTCAGATTAGTGTTATACATAATGGTCACTTTTGCCAACACAAAGCTAAACCCCAAGCCCCAAGATTCAAGCCAGCCAAAATACATTTGATCAGTGATATTTTTTCCTATTAAATTTAAAAAAGAATAAACTTGTATCAGTCAATTATCTAATGACTATAATTTTATTAAAACACCTATATGAGATATGGACTATGGACAGTATATCAAACTCATCACTTAGTGAGTGAGTGACATGGTGACATGTACATAATATAATGAATTTCCATGCTGATTTATTATAGTAGTAGTTTCTGCTTATTTCATAAGTTCAATCTCGTTTTTTTTCCATTCCCATAGGTTTTTATTGTATTCTTGAAAATCGGAAATCCTTGAATAAAATCTTATCACCGTCTCCCGGTTCTAAGCTACCTCTCTACCAATTTTGAGCCAAACCTTATATCCTTAAGATATAAACAATATAAAATAGTACAGTATAAAACAATAAAAAAAAAAAAAAAAAAAAAAAAACTAACACAACTTTCTTTCATGGTGCCAATAGAAACTTTTATAATTATGCAGTCTGTGATACAAAATTTACAAGTCTTGCAAACATAACAACTTACAAATACAACAATTTTTTTTCAACCCTAACTAAATAACTGAGGCTTTGACTGTCCAGTACATAGCTCGTAAGGTGGAGGTAATTCGGGAATAAAACCTAATTGGAAATTGTCACTCTTAAATGCCTCCAGATCTACTTCATCCACATCTTCCATCTTGCTGTACAGATTGGGATCACCACCAGCTACCGACTTATTCTGGACTTGCCCAAATATAGAAGCAGGATTCTGAGCTGGTTGGAAAACATTCCCTTGGTTGAAAGGAGAGGGATTGTCAGTTGGAGCTCTACCAAATATACTTTGGTTTGCAGCACCAAATATGTTTGATGGGTTCGCAGTTGTTTGATTTATATTTTGAGCAGCTACACCAAAGATTGATTTTGGATCAGCATTTTGATTCTGTGGTGCAAATATGTTACTTACAGGTTGACTTGGGCCAAAAGAATGTTGAGTAGCTTGAGCAAACAATTGTTTTGCAGGATCTTGAGCTTGTTGATTAAATATGCTACTTTGAGCTTGACTGAATATTGACTGAGCATTATTCACATTTTGGTTAATCACTGGACCTGACTGGACGGCACTACGGAATATGGAAGCTGCAGCACTGTTGGAAGTGCTGAACACATTCTCTGGCTGAGTAGCGAAGGGTGAAGAAACTTGTTCTCCTTTGTAGAGGCTTCTCAGTACTTTGATAATATTCATATTTGGTTGTAGCAGTTGTTCATATTTCTGTCTCGTCTCTTTAACCACATTGTTGATGTATGCTACCTGAAATTGACAAAGGAATAATGTTAATGTGATGGATTGACAGGATGACTATTTCATTACTTATATAAAGTTTCCATTAGTTGAACCGGTGGATGTAACTTTCATATGAGTAGTGGTGGAAAAAGTTTGCTACTTACAGCTTGCTCTACATTATTTGTATTTTTTCCCTCATAAATGAAAAGTCTGATTTCTTCTGGTGACAAATCATGGATTCCTGGAAATATAGGTTTTTCTTTGATGGGGGAGTAGCATGAAAGGATCCACTGGCCACCTTTAAGTACGGCCTGAACATCAGCCTGCACTTGTTTCACCAGCTGTTCATCAGTAATGCCTCCAGGAAGTGTTTGCACAGGAGCCTGCTGTACTGGTTGAGTTTGTGGATTTGCTGAAATATATATTGTCTCTTATAAATTTATTCCCTCAAAATCCTCATTAATTCAAATATTTAATTGTTTATTAGTAACTTATACACATAATTTAAGAGAGAGAGTGTACATTGTATGGATGACCTACTAAACCTTATCCATATTTAATAAATGTCATGTAATACCTATTTGAAATATTATCATCCAAGCAAATTATAATTACTTCTAATAGGACGATTTTAGGGTCAATACTAACTAATTTTATTCGGATATGTTTAATTAATATTACCTACATTATTTCGTAAAGTGCAGTTACATTGCACAACATAATTAATCACCAAAATACTAAACTAAAGTACTTAAAGCAGAAACTATTAAACCTTACCGTGATAAGAGTATTTGGATCCATAGACGTGTTCAAATCTACAGTTCTTTCCGAATTTACAGTATCCAGCTTGAAAAAATTTACAAACAACCATTATTTTAAAGTATATTACTTTATAATATTTATTATTTTGATAATTATGACAGAACAGAAAGGTACAAATATCACTTTTTATTTTCAAATTGCATGACAAAGACAGTGACCGCAAACAATGACACTGTTGACAGTTAATTTATAGTGTTGCCTTCCGACAAATTACTATCGAAACTAACATTTTTCATGAATGGCAACCGAGAAAAAAATCTTGGGAAAAACGGAAAATCCATTCCTAAAACCAAATGTCAAAACAGTGCAGTATAGGTCCACCAATTTAAGTTACTCTAAAGTCTAAATACAAAATTACAAAATTAATACACCATTAAACACTTTATTTTTATTATTATATCATTCTCAATATTTGAGAAGTCTGTTAAATCTAAGTTTTATGTGATTTTGTACCAAAGAATAAAGTAAGAAGTGTTTTTTGAACTTTATTATTATAGTAGTTATATTTACTTGGGATTCATCATTTTGCTTTAAAATAAAAACGTGGTAATGGTTCTAATCACTCATTTTCTATTAAGCAGTTAAAAGGGTGAGTGAATACCCTTGGGAGAAATGGATCAAATCTACATTTATGTGATGCAAGTTGTACTTGCTGTCGGTGTCACAGTTGGTAAGTTTTATTTTTTCTCAACTTAAATATTATGTAGTTGTGATGAAGAAAGCGCTCTGTATTTTCTACTTACACCCACCCATGGGACTGGGTGTGAATTTATAAGTAGATTATGTTCAACATGTCACTCAGCTGTTTGAGTCCTGACTTGAATATATCAAGTTTATTTTTATTAATCTAATAAAACATCTATTAATGTGTTAGCTCAGCTCAATATTTGTTGCACACTTACTAATAAATTACATAAATAAATAACTAAGATGTTTCATGGTCAAATTTAAATTATGACTCACATTTCGCACATCATACTATTTTGTCAATTTTAGATAACCCCATTAATGCTTTGCGTAACTTTGGAATCTACTCAGAGATCCGTTGTGTAGCAGTACACATTTAGATTCAACAATCTTTTCATGCTGTGGTTGTATTTGTGATAATATTAGTTTAGTTATTATACTAAATATGTTCATTTATTTTTACTAGATAAGCCTCAGATCATTATTTTACTAATAAGAAGTAATAAAATTGTGTGTGTTTTTCACAGGTTCACAAACATTTAAACAAAATGATAAGTACCATTGGATGTTCAGCATTGGTATGTACAATTTATTGTTTTCTAGTAATTTAATTACACCATGGTGTGTTCACGGTGTTGCTTGTGATCATTAATGTAATCAAACTTGATAGTAAACGAAATGTAGCTTACATTTTCATTAGAGTATGTATTGTACCTAGTAGCATAGTTTAGTAAGTGCAAGATTTAAATAAATAAGCATAATTATGTATAATTATGTCATGACCATAAATGTAAATTAAGTAGTTCCCAAAATCTTTAATTTGTATATTTTTTCAGTGAGATATGTAGTTTATGACCTAACAATTAAATGTACCAAAAACTTAAGCTCAATGGGATATGACATGTTACACAAGAAAAGATGGTTGAACACACAACTTGTAGAAAATATCAATACTGGTCAAATAATCATTTACATTGGCTCAATTGCAATCTTAATAAGCAATAATGAAAAGGTATTTTCCGAAGACTTCCTTTTGCTGTTCATCGCCTACTTGATTTTGCAGTATCCCGAATTGGTGAGTTATTTTTATTTCATTAAACTTTTGATTGAGGCACTGTTTACAAACAATGTCTTCCTTCATTAAACTGAATAATGTTTGACAACAGTTATCATTATGGAATGATAAAGAGTTATCAATTGCATAAAACAATAAGCCTTTCTCAGTTTAATGTATAATGTAGTAAAAAAATACTGTGTATGGTAATAAAAATAAAGTTCAAAGTCCTCCATTTTCAGGGAACCACACCCCTATCTTCCATAAGCTATGGAGTAGGGATGGCGTGTAACTTCTATGAAGGATACCTGATGCACGTGATACCTTCAGATGGCGGTGACTTCGGTGGTTTCATTCAAAACGTCCAAGCTTTCGAGGCTCGCGAAGGCATCGTGGTGCCTGTCAGAAAGTTATTTATCATCATCACAAAGTCCATGTATAGCCCTCCAGATCTACAACTGTTTAATAAAGAAAATAGACCAGACCTCTCAAAGTTGGAGTCCTGTTCGGTGAGAATCGGTGATTATTCAAAGGTTCGTCACATATTGACAAAGCCTGTTATACATATATCTAGAGTGGCTTCTCAACGAACCTGTGTTTACTTCATTTCTTCCTCCTGTGAATTCTTTTTGTATTCAAAATACTTAAGGTAATATATTTATAAGAAGATTGGTAACGTTAGTTTTTTAATTCTGGATTCTGTTTGTTATTTTAATTAATTCACAAAATAATTCTCAGGGGCAACTTCCCTCTTTTCCGGACATTGATGATGCTGTGATGTTCCAGTCGCTGGAAGATCGGAGTAGGGATGTGGGAGGGATCAGGAACCGTAGCTACAAGAATACGGCGTACAAGATCCACCGGCAGCGCGGCCCACCCGTCTACCTCGTGGCCGAGTGTGCTACGCCCCTGTATACTTTGTACCGCGTCATGGAGAACAAGGAGTTGTATGATGGTGAGTACACTGCTTGCGGTACAACACTACTGAGTACTTGAAAATCACACCACACAAAAGGTGGTCAACGCACTAAATAACTCCTGTGTTGCGGGTGTCCATCGGTAGCGCCCCGATTGCGTACCATTATTGGTAATCCCTTTGCTCCATGGGATGATTTTAATAAGCCATGAATCCCTAGAGGAGTTACAAGTGCGTTGACGGCCTTTTGGGGATAACCGGTAAGGGAGTTAACAATAATAATTGGGGATAATTGCGCCCCCACTAAGGTTAGTCTCCGGGTGAGGTCACTCGCACGGCGAAACAGGACGCAAGCACGGTTTCTTTGAACTTGTAATAATTTCCCATACCTACAGTTCTATTCGTATATCATAAGGCTGATACAGTTCTGTTGTAGAACATGGCTACCTATTTATTTACAGACTTGGCGAAGGTGAATGTCCAAGATGTTTGTGACGACTTCTGTTCCACACTGCTGCGGCTTCTAGATAGGAGTTCCGAGTGTAGAGACCAGGTGGAACTAGTTCACTATGATGGTACGTAGATGTGTCAACATGCAATTAAAATTATATTCAACTCATATTTGTGTTACATACAAGTGATGTAAATATTTTACAGCCGAATTACTGATCTCAATCCAAAATCTGTAGATTAAAATCGATTTTTGACAAAAGATGTAAATCAGAGATGTTAGGGAGCTCCGTAACCATAACCGAAACTATCGGATATCCAATATAAAAAATATCCGTAACCGTAACCGAATCCGAATTAAAAGTTTCGGATACTTTCGGATAGGGGGGCGTGACTAGGGTTGCCACCCGTACTTTATAATAAAGTATTGTACGTTATTTAAGGTAATTGTACTCTATACTTTATAAAAATAATAAAGTACACGAAAATACTTTATTTTTGCAAAATTCGATATCGATATTTATCGACTTATGTTGAATCGATTTCGCCACTCGCCAGCGCCACTTAGACAATTTCTAGTAAAGATGCAATTGTTTAGTATTTCAATGCAATTGTTTAGTAAAGGTACTAATTTAATACAAACTGCAAAAAGCAATAAAAAGTATATTTTTAAATATAATACTAAATAAGAATAATTTGTACTTTATTTTTTGTACTGTGTACTTTTTTCCTTACCTATAACCGTCAATGTACTTTAAATCCCAAAATAAAAGGTGGCAACCCTAGGCGTGACGTATAAATGAAACCATTATATTAACTATTTGTATTTTACTTTTGAAATACCTTAAAATTTTAATATTCGTAACCGAAATTATCCGTAGGTATCTAACGGATAATCCGAAATAATTTCATATCCATTACCGTATCCGTATCCAGTATAATAGGTACTCATTTCTATATCCGTATCCAATCCGTATCCGAAATTTCATATCCATAACATCCCTGATGTAAATGTATGGAGTTCCTATCAAGAACCGAGATTGATCCACTAATTTTGAATAACGATTCGTTATTAATAATTTAAAAGGTGTATCGACATGATTGAGGGTGCAGGGAGCTGTTGGATAGGTCGATTCCAACTAGCCTATCTGGAAGTCATTGGGGGAGGCGTATGTTCAGAAGTGGACGTCCTGTGGCTGATATGTATATCTAATTTCTCCCGTTAGACATTTTCTATACCAAAGCAATTAAAAGGAATAGGGATTTACTATCCTGCTTTCTGTCGCTCTTTTAAAACATGCCCAGGACATAAGCACTAAGATGTTGCATAATAATAAATGTTAAATTTTGATCACAGATAGAGACCCGGAAGCGAACTTAGCAGACGTTATACTCAACAGAATACAACAGCTGGAACCAAGGTTTGAAGAGTTGATTAGTGTTAGAAGATAAATAAAATCTTTCAGACACATCACTTAACTTGTGTAAACTGTAGTCGGACAAAGTTAGATTAGAGAAAAACTTCAAAAGTTTGCTTGAGTTGTGATTAATTTTGATTTGATATCAAAGTAAATGATTATTAATATTAAAAATTCGAAGATCGTATAACTTGTGAGAAACCTACATAAAAGTACATTATAATTTTGTATTGGACCTATGCAACTGCTTTGTAATCTGAGCTCGTACACAAAACTGCGATGGACGTCGCATCCCAAAAATGTGCAAGCTCCCTCCACGCATCGCAAGAAGCAATAACAGAAGTGCACACTTCTTTTTACGATCCATGTCACCACCAAGTTTTCAATGTTGTCACCCTGGGAGACGCCTTGTCGCACGAAATCGCATCGCAGCTATTCGTGTCGTAATTTTCTGCGTTGCGAATTCGCATCGCAGTTTTGTGTACGAGCCCTCTATCACTAGAAAACAGCGCATAGGTAATCAGTACGACTGCTAATTATTTTTGCACCAATCGGCTATGGTGTGTAGGAATTAAATATTTGTGCCTTTTAAATGTGTTAGCAAAAATATATTTTTGTATTTTGTTAAGAAAATAGCTATCATTAGCTATACATATAATATATGACTTACATCATAAGTGAAATGATGGCAGAATCTAGTCTAATGTTAACTCCCTATAAGTTTTTTTCTTAATATTTCTGTGGATGGGCCGACGTTTGACCACTATCACTAAGTATGGAAGTATCAGTAAGTATTTTAATGGAATAAGAGGCAAACGAGCAGAAGGATCACCTGATGGTAAGCGATCAGCGCCGCCCATTTATACTCATCTTTTTAGCAGTTATACTCTTTTATTTAAAGATTTACACAGAGTGTAAAATGGTTGATACCAAATACCTAGGTACTTGTAATTCACTGTACTTGTTTATTTCTATCTATTGTTTATGTCTTTATGAATGGATATGTAAAGAGGTACCTAGTAAAAAATTGTAATAGTACCTACCTATAATTGTTAAGTAGTAAGTAAGTACTTATTATTTATAAGTGCATAAATGTGTGTACAATATAATTTTGATACAATAAATATTTTATAAGATTTTTTATAAAAATAAAATTGTGAATTACCTATTCACGTATTTTATTTGGGAAACCAATCGTTTAGATTGCCACAAATAATGCATGAAAGAGATATTTTGAAATATATTGTAGTGCCTTATGACACGACTGTGGTCTATTATTAGAATAGGGCGCCAAACGAGCAGATGGATCACCTGGTAAGCAATCGGTGCGGCTCATGGACACCCACTAGAGGCTTTTGGGGATTGAGGACCATAGGAGGATTTTGTAAGGTCATGGCATTCCTTCCGTCGAGCAGGTCTTTTTGTGCTGAAATATGGCTCTTCGTCTTCGACGTTATAAAGATTGAAGTGAAGAAGAAAATAATTTCAATTCTACTGCTTGATGATCTGAGGTATTTATTGTCTATGCTTTAAAATTTGTCGTTGATGTTGGTTTTATGAATGTCATTTTGTGTCACTGTCAATTTGTCAGTATCACTGAAAAGTGAAAAATCAAAATAGAAACAGCAACAGGAGCAAGTGTTTTTCTAACTTTCAAAGTACAGTAATTTTAGTTTTACGAACATTAATAGTGCCATGTAACCGAACATAATGTATGCTATTTAATGGTATCGTAGCATAAAACGGTATAATTCGTAAGTACCAACATACACACTTGAACGAAAACAACAAAAAAGAGGTTAGGTATTGATAAACTTAAAATAGTGCGGAAAGTGTTTCAATAAAAACTAAACCGTTTAGATATAATAGTAACCGGAAATACATGCAGTGACTCAATTTTGTTGTAGCGTAGTAATGAATAATTATATGATTGAGACATTTCAGTCAGTAACGAAGTAAATAAAAATATATTTTATTACAACACAATAATTAAATATTGATTCATAATTTGATAAGTGATAAGTAGGGCAAGTTCACTGATAAGACAAATTGCATTTTTTACTTTTATGCTATTTTTTATCTGTGCTAACCTAAACTATGAGCAGATAAATTTGTTCCTTGCTGTTTTCATTTATTAGGTCTTTAAAGCTTCTCTGCAGGAGATACCTATTACCTATTGCCGTGGCCTTACCTGTCACCAAAATTAATGATATTATGAGTTTATGTCACAAAGTTTTGTACAAACAAATGTATAAAGAAGTTTTTTAGTTATCTTTATCTTTTCTAAATTTATATCTAAAATTTGGACAAAAATGTATATACAAATGACAATTACCTATCTACCATAATTTGCACATAATTTAGTAATATTATTTTCTATAAATTAATCTTTTTCATTGTACTTTACAGAAAATGAAAATGGATCGCAACACATACATTTATTTTATGCAAATTCTATTTGTGGGTAGCATCACATTAGGTAAGTAACAAAGAAAGCTTGAAAATTATTATGAAACTAACCAACCTCACCTCATCATACTGTTACTTGTGTTTACTGTCTGTTTATATATGAAAAAGAAACTTCAGTTTACTATGTGGCCTCTTTACAGCAAACAAAGAGGCATTGTTTATATTTTTATAACATTTAAAAGCTCCACTATAATAACATGAACCTAAATTCTCAAGATAATCATGAATTAATAGGCCAGTTATCAATAAAATGGTGTCATGGAACATAACTGAACAATTTTCAAAATAATGGAAGACTGTTTTCTTTACAAAATGTGAGACAATAACATCCTCTCAAAATCTTGGCATGAAGCTTAACCCGTCGTGTGTCTAAACGTGGATCCATGCAAGACACAATGCATTGTCTGTTGTGTCTCATATACTGGCATTCAAGAGGATATACATTTTAGTAACATTTCAGTTCAGTTGGCAGCATGAACCTTAAAATATTTACTTTCATTACTGCTGCAACATTAATACTAATGGTTTTATTGTTTCTTTCAGCATCACAGAGCTTGGAGTTGCATAATAAGCAAACTTTGGCGATAAATATAGGTGAGTAGATAATGAACTTTCTGCTCTTTTTGAAGTAGAACTTTCTGTTTGAAAGTTAAAAATTGGTTTTAACTCGTCAAGTACCGTCATTATAGACACAATTATAGAACAATAGGTTGCGGTCACCAGTGACCGCTTGGTGTTTGACAGTTTAACTTTCAAACAGAAACTCATTTCATTCATTCAAATCTATTGATAACATTTGTAAAATATCAAGATAGTATAATCTAACAGTGAAGTAAGGTTGTTCCACAGTGTAGGTTCATTTGGATAGATGAAGCAAAAAAACTAACTATATTTTCAGCCCGGTTTGTGCTGTATGTCTTAAGTGTCAGAGGATTCAGTGAAGCATGTGTAGTGTTATATCACTGCGCTCGTCACCAGCAGCTCCCTGATGTACAGGTCCTGCAGAGGGTACAGCTACACCGGCACCATGTCATGATGTTTCTGGGGGCTATCACACTCCTGCTGACACATGAACAGGCAATAATCGATGACAGATTAATTTTTATTTTAATCGCCACCTTGATTGCTAAATATCCGGATATTGTAAGTACCTTTTAACTTTTACTAGTAATAGACAGCATTTATATACCTAGATACATTATACACCACTTTGGTTCAGTTGAAGTATGCTGAATAACATGAGTATTTAATGTATTTATAATATATATATAATAAAATTCCTAATGATATTCGAAATTGTAATGTAAGATTATTTAAAAATAAATTGAATATAATTCTGGTCAAGAAATGTTTTTATAGTATTCATTAATAATTTTAATATGTAATTGTATCTCATCTTTTTCTTTAAATTAAATTAAGTGTATACCTAATTGACTTGACGTTCACTTTGATTAACTGACATTTTCATAAAATTCTTGTTTATCTAATACTTATTTGATTATATTGTAAAATGACTCATTAGTATTAATGTATTTCATTTAATAATACTTTTGCGTGCTGTGTTCCACGGCAAAACATGCTGTACACAAACATTTTATTCAACATCTTGTTACCTACCATGTTTTGTGAGAATAAAAAAAAATATTATTAATTAGATTTCAAACTTACAGGAAGGAAATGCTTTTCAGAAATGTATATTGTAATGTTTCAGGATAGAAAATTAGATAAGAAAAAGACAGTTAACTATGGTGTAGGCATGGCTTGCAGCTACTTCGAGGGCTACCTCGTCCATGTGTTACCTTCAGACGGCGCCAAGTTCTTCGGGTTTCTGGAGAATATCAAGATATATGAGAACAGAGAAGGAGTCGTGTTTCCGGTGAAGAAGCTGTTCGTGGTGGTCACCAAGTCGCTGTTCAGTCCTCCGGCGCTGGTGGAGTTCAACAAGACTGGCAGAGACGACCTGCCCAAACTAGAAGCTTGCAGTGTGAGCCCTATTCCCAGTACCTACATGTATAATATCATCAACTCATATAGCTTGTATATCATAGGCCACTCCAATAGCACTGGGCTAAACTAGATCTTCAACTCGTTGCATTTATGTATAACTCATGAAGGTTTGTATATTGCGATCCTCTATTATCCTCCTTATTTTTTATTATGTTTTTCAGTCTTTAACTGAGATAGAGAAGGACGTGGCCGGTGTTAAGAACCGCATATACAGGAGCACAGCGTACAAGATCTACCGGCCTAATGCGCCGCCTGTCTGTATCTGCACCGAGGGGGGTACGCCTCTGAACACCTTATACAGGGTCCTGAAGAACAGCGAGCTCGCTGAAGGTTAGAACAACTGTATTTATGTCATTATCATCAGCTCACTGTCTCCCGACAGTATTGTACAAATGTTACTAACCAACAAACATTTATGTTACAATATCATTTCAGCTGTCCATATTATTTGAAATTAAATACGCTTTTAAAAATTCTATCAATCCATCCATACTTACTTCGAATATATATGTCTCATGATATTTTCATACTAAAATTAAAATACGATTATCTTTCAGCTTTAATTAACTTTCTGAATACTAATCAAACAAGAACAATTACTGTAAATATAATGTATTTTTACATTCCAGAACTGGCGGGTATCAATCGCGAGGAAATAGTGCTCGACTTCTTGACCACACTGCGTAAACTGATTGCCAAGAGCCCAGAATGCAGGGGCAAGTGTGAACTTGTATATTTTGACGGTATGATATAAAATTATATATCAAATTTAGCTAATATTTAATGCTCCTTAGTTCTATTATAACTCTCGTTACAGAGAGTACCAATTTCAAACTATACTGAGGACTTGTAAGAGTGCCTTTGTATGTTGTCATTCAAATGTGTAAAATTTTCTTATAAAATATGTATATTGTTTCAGATTCTAACAGAGACCTGAACTTAGCTGATGTATTGTTAGATAGGATCCGAGAGCTGGAACCGAACTTCGAAGAAATCATTTCAAGAAGGAGGTAGTCATTATTATAACATAGTTATATATTAAGTAAAAACGCGGGTTACTCACGTGAATATACTGAGAAAAGCTCCGCGTTTTTACCCGCGTTTTTACTTAATTTAGTATGTCTCACGATAGTTATTATAAAAACATAGTTATATATTTTTATAATATTGTGGTGAATTATAGCAATCGTTTGTATGACGATGATGGCTTCACAGTAAAACTGTGTTTGTCTGTCTGTGTAACAGGTTAATGGATAATGGCTACAATTGTGACTTTTTTACGTCTTTATTATTATAATGTGGCATTGTAATGTCGACATTGTGCTTTTGTAATATTTCATTAGGAATACCCTTTTTACGTATAATTTTATTTTAGACTGCGCGGTTGACCCTCAGTTACGTACCATGTCGCTGGTTTGACAAGGAACAACTCCTCTAACGGTTGTCGAAAAACAATGGTGTTTTTACAAATGTAAATACAACGAGAACACAACAAAAAAAAACAACTTTGTTGTGTGAACCTCTCTTTTTGAAAAGAGGATAGATATTTTACTTGATATGAGACATTCATCTCCGTTAGTAGAAAAGTTACTAACTAAAGACTATGTAATTAGTATTGTAACGACGGAGTTTTGAGGCTTATAACAAAGTGCCTAAGATCTCTTAGCTCTTAAATAATATTACGCTTTTACAAGTACAAACTTAGTCAGTGGGTGTGAAAGAAAAACTATACTTAATGAATAAGTTCAATCATAATGTTTAAACAAAGAAAACTAGTCATGTAGACAATGTTTCTTTAAGTGTGGAATCTAAAAATCACGTGAATATACTGAGAAAATCGCTACTAGTTTGTACTACTCAGTACATTCACGTGAGTTAGCCGCAATTTTTAGATGTCTCACAATAGAAATAAGTGTACCTAATGCTAAATAACAGCGAGTATATTTTTTTATTGTCCATCTCGAAAATTCATTAAACATTATAATGTTTACAACTATAGTTGTACCCATTTTTTTTTTCTTATTAGCTAAATGAATGGATAATTGACTATTTTCCTTTTTATACTTTATCTACATCATTCGACATAAGTTTAAATGAGAATGACACTTAGTTCGACTTGCAACTAAATGTTTGTTTTGATATTGAATAACAAATAAAATAATTTAATTCAATCATATCACATTACGTTCTCAAATAATTAAAATAAATTAGTTAATATCATTTTTGTTTAAATGAGGACTAACGCTTTTCTGCTCACTAGATGGCGCCAATGTACAAAATGTTCATTTTTGTCCAATCATAGTAGGCGCTAAAATTGGAATGTCCAGAGGACTACACATTAGCAATGTTGATTAAACAAAATACCCCTAGCTACATTAGTACTCCAGATGGCGGCGGGAGCCCTCATTTATCAAATATTTTTTTAATTTATTGACCCATGATACACACTTGAAAAATAACATTTTATTGTAATGTAACTAATTGGAAAAAAAATTGTATTGTATTGTACTTGGAAAAATAATATTGTGTTGTAACTACTTTTTTATGAAATTCTACTTTAACTGAAATAAAGAATATTTTTTCTGGATTTTGTTTTTTGTAATATTTTATATACATTATTCGTGTACTGGCCATTAGCTGTGTCGTAACCACTGAAAGGGATCTATAATGTGCGTTAAGGCTCGAGGTTAAAGGCTCGCAAATCACGTGTAACTTGTTACGGGTAATCCTGACAATCATCAGGTGATCCGCTAGCTCGTTAGCCACTTCTATCCTATAAGATTTAGCATAAATTTGAAGTTTTTAGAAACACCAGCATTTTTCTTTGTTGGCGGGAGGAAAACCTTCAATTCAAGGCGCCTAACTTTTTGGGGAAAAAGGGAGTTAAGAATTTTTACCTCACTAAAATCTCCCTGGTGGCCGCTATTCGCACCTGAAGGAGCAGCAGCATCTTGCAGAATCTTAAAAGAATAGATTGCAAGTCGATATTTTTTTGAGAATCAAACTTAAAAACCTAGGTTCCAAGTCAACTATTTCAAAATAAAAAAAAAATTACGTTACATGTCGTGTCAAGTGTCAAGTCAATGTCAAAATTGTCAAAACATTCTCACGTGTGCGGTGTAGTGTGAATTTTTATAAAATATTATTAGTTAAACTTTAAATGCAGCAATATGGGTAAACGCAAATTCGAAAGCGAAAAAGACAAGTCACCTAAAAAACCTAAAAAGGCTGAATCTGAAAGTGTTGAAAATGGCACCGACGAACAACCTCAAAACCCGGTGGAGTCGGATAACAAACATGCATTTACTTCCAAAAAGGACAGTTTTGATGTGAAATATTTTCGTAAAGAACTATCAGCAAAGCAAGGCCAGACTATGGGTAAGCGTAAACACTTATTTTAATTCGAATAACTGCATGTTATGTGCACATTTACCGACAGTAAACAAAGTGCGTGCCACTTGCACAATATTACATTTTTGCCCTTTTGCACTAATAATAAAAGATTTTACAGTCAATATTGTGATTAGTATTTAATATGTAATATAGAACAAAAGCAAATTATTAACAATTTTATTTTATATTTCCAGCACTAACACAATTCTTACAAGTCTGTCTAAACCCTGACAGTCCTGCTGACTACTTGCTGGAATACCTTAAATGTGGTGGCAACTCACATGAAATACTGCGACAGATCACTGCAGACAGTAAGAAAAATCTCACACTGGCCACCCCAGCATTTCACATTTTTCATCTTATTATTGTAAAGGTACAGTCTTCCCTTCCTCACATGATATCTATCACAGAGGAGGCATGCCGCTACTTCTTAAACACATTCATGTCTACGATCGAGATTATGATCAGTGAAAGCTCTGGTCCTCGACACAGGAAAGTAGTCCTTAAACTACTGACATCAATGGTCACACTGAATTCAGATTTAGGAGTTGAAGTACTCAACCAGGCCCCATTAACTCCAAAACACTTGCAGCATGTGGTTGAAAAACCTAACTTCAAGGAGAAGGATAATGTAAGGACAACATTTGTTCACTTCATGACATCATTCCTGATAGAAGGCCACTTGCCCTTGATAAAAGCTCTTCTGGAGAAGCAAGGCTTGCTGGCTCTTGTCATACCTGGTTTGATCAATGATGAACCAGAGGCTGTGTTGATATTTTTAAACATTTTGAAAAAGAATGTTGTAGATAATGCATTGATATCTAAAAGTCTGAAGTTAAAAACTTTCAGTCATCAAGTGTTACATAATCTGTTCAAAGTATTTTCATGGAAAGGGCCTCCAGAGTTAAGTCAAGAAGTGAGGAATGAGTTACGCCCGGATATAATGAACCTGCTGAGTGATATACTACTTACTTTATTTACATCACACAAAACTGGTCTCTACTTCATTGACAATTCTCTAGGAACAGTTGATGCTAACAAAAATCAGAATCTGTATAAAGCTCTACTAACTCTAAAGAGGCCATGGGAGAATGAGACCGAATGTGAGGTGATCTTGAATATAATGTACAAGTGCCCTGACCTCCACCGAGCTTTATGCAGTGTAATAGAACAAAGTTTTGAGCCTCAACATTCTCCAATATGGGAAAGAACTGCAGATTTTACAATCAAGCTGCTGAATAAACTGAGACCAGAAGACATGGTGTCGAGAATGACTCACCTTAATCCTGTACAGATTGCCAATTTTGTCAGATTCGTAACTTTGCCAGTTCCTTTACTTAAGTTTATCAATATCAGTTTAGGGAAGGACCAAACTGTGTCTCTATACTGTGTCAAAGTTCTCGTCAAGATGTTGCAATGTCTGAAGAGGTTCTTACAAATATTGGAGAGCAAAGAAACAGCACAGACTGCTGATTTAAAAAATAAGTTGGAGTATTTTATTCCTAAGCATTTACCAACACCTGCTACCATCGTAATGTTAATAGAAAATGTCACATCTGGTAAAATAGAAGTAGAGAACACTAAGGACTACAGACTTCCCAAAATAAGTGATACAGATGCTCTGATATCTCTAGTTGATCTCCTTTTACTGTACAATGACATCCAACCAGCATATTTTGAGACTTTAGAAGGTAGTATAGATATGAAAAAGATATTAGATTTCTCCAAAACCCTGGAAACTGGTCACATTGCTCTGTTGAAATTTAAAATTGTATCTCTTTGGTTAACATTAGACAGTTCTGCAATATCTTTGAAGAATCCAATGTTTAAGGAACTTTTCTTAATAATGTTAGATGTGTACATGAGTGACGAGGACGAAACTTGGATTGAAGCAAAGGATACTTTACGAATTTACTTCAAAAATACGGCAATATTTGAAGGAGACGAAGACGAAATACATTTGATATTGTACACACTGAGGAATGCTCGAGTGAACCCATCCACTCTGATTAGCGACATTGTAGAATACGTTCTAGAAAACATAACAGATTTGACTGAATATGTGAGGAACCAGTTAGTGCACTTTGAAATATCTTCAGAAAATACTGAGGACAGTTTAAAGAAGCTGTTTAATGATCTAATGGAGAACAAAACCACAGAAGATAATGTGTTTCTAGAAAGTAGAATGCCTTCGCCTTTTATTGTAGGCTGCATGCAGTACTTACAGACACACAAGGATGCTAAGAAGAGTCTTAAACATTTTCTGTCACTTTACATTGTTAATTTACTTCATTGCAATTACTCGCCTGAGTTAACGGAAGTATTGATTGGAGACTGTAAATTAGACGCTCGGAATTACGTCGCGAGCTGGATAGGGCAACCCGTAGCTATCTCAGATACCGTTGTGGGTCAAGACAATGTTCTGAAATCAATATCAAGTTCCATAGTCGATAGAGAAGAAGTTTCTTTAAAAGATGTGTTCCTATTTTTGGAAGAGGTTACAGAAGACGGTGATTTTGTGATCGACGATGTTCATTATAAATTCATCACTTCAAAAATAGTGGACGATTCCGAAATGTTGATGTGGGCAAAGTATTTGATATTCTGCATTGTGAGATTAACTAACATGGGGCAGTTAAATGAAGAACAACAGAAACGGATAACTGGTTACTTTCAATGTATTATCGAAATCGGTAAAAAGCACCTCTGTGTTGATGTATGTCGGACGATAATACTGACCTTATTCAAAAACCCGCAGTTTCTAAAGATATACAAACCTCTCAACACTGGCAAAAACTCTTCAAATTTATATGCAACCGAATTTCTACTACAAGTCTTAACACACAACTTAGACATTGTAAATTACTTAAATAACAAACATAAACTTCTAAATACTTATCAACAAAAAAATTATAACGAAATCACTAAAGCCTTCATCAAGATCAATAAAAGGAAGAATGCTGACAGTCAGTACACCACACGTGTTTTAGAAAACGTAGGTTTATCTAATGAAGATGACATCAAACTGTTAAATCTTATATTCAGTGTGGATACAGATGCTTGTTTGAGAGATGACAAGGAACCCAGTCTAGTTCTAGAGCTGTTGAGATATTTGATAGAAAAGTATTCTGAAACTATAAGCTTGGAGTTACAACCAAATATTCTGAAGAAGACAATCTCTCTTTATACCGATTTACTTTCGAACAAAGAATTAAACCCTAATCTAACAAGTTTAGAGAACGCATTAACGAAGTATTTCGAAAACAAACCACACCAAGCGTTGCGAGTGTCGGAAGAAGATTTCAAAAAGTTCTTCTATTTCAATAACTTAAGGAAGTCTACCGCAACCCTTGCAGCAGTTCTGTTGAAGTTTAATGTGAAGTTCTGCAATGTTTTCAAAGATGAAATCGTCCGTCCCGAGATATTAGCCCAAAGAGAACTAACGCTTCCTCTAGGCTCCGCAGTAATCAACCACAATCAGTTCTTGCTGGATAACAAAGAATTTTTAGCGACCATATACAATGAATATAAATCTAATATTATTAAAATGGTAGAAAAACCTCACAAGGCTGGCCAAATTTATGTAGCGTGTTGGCAATTCATCAGAAAGTTGGTAATCGAGTGTATGGACGTCCAAGACTGTTTGAAGTTATTCAATAAAACCCATAAATTCGAAACCGTAGAGTGCAGTCATGTTCAAATATTACAAAATGTATTTTTGAAGATCTATGAAAATCTTGCTAAGAAGGAGCATCTCTTAAACTATCTCTCGTGTATGTTAAACCTGGCAACGATGGCTTTGAAAGAAAATAAAATAGATGCTTTGAATGAAATTATTACTGGCGTTCATAGCATTGCCCAAATTTGTGGAATTGTCGAAGGCTTAGATACTGCACAAAAGGATGATTTCAAAAAAATGACCGAGAGCGCTATATGGCAGAACTTCTGTAAGGCAACGTTGAAAGATTCTTTGAAAATTAAAACCGTTGATCAAGGGTACACGATCGGACCAAAACTTCTCGCATTACTTACAGAATTAGTGAAACTTTTGTACCCGGACAACCACGACGATATAACAACATTATTTG